CTGTAGCACTAACGCTCGCTGTTTTAGCCTTCTGAGCTACTTCTTTGACCAGCGTGGTCTGCACCTCGCAGTCTTTGACCGGTCGGTTGCAGAACGCTTCGGCCGTCTTGTGGAGACTGACCAGCCTAGCCAGCTCCTCTCTCATTAGTGCATTTATATGCCGCTGCCCCCCAAATAGGGCAGACAAACCCTCTAGCGTAACTCCTATTTGAGCTAACGCTTCTTTTAAAGACTTGGGTGCCTGGCACTCAGCCACTGGAGACTGGTTACAAGTCGATGGCTGCTGTGCTGCGGCGATCGCTGCAACGAGGAACGGCGCGCGAAAGCTTGCAGCTCCTCCTCCATCATGGCCTCCATATTGCTCCGACTACCACGGCGTGAAGCCTGTAGTGGGCACTGCCTACTAATATAATTTGAGTTTAGAGACCGCAGTAACTTAAACTCAACCTAACTACAGCGAGAGCCCGAAAGTATGCACTACTTTTAATACCTGCTACCTCACACCAGCAGCTGGGTTGCTGTCTTTGTGTGTGTGTGTGTGTGTGTGTGTGTGTGTGTGTGTGTGTGAGATTTCTTACTTGTTAAATGTAAAATACTTATGGTATATATATATGAACCAAATTTCAAGAACCTAGCAATAAATCTTTAATTTTCGTCGAAAAATCGGCTCGCTGGCCCACAGTGCATTGTGGCAGGCGATCTGAATGCGCGAGCACTAGATTGGGGAATGCCATCGATTAACTCTAGAGGACAGAAAATTATGGATATGGGCGCTAGATCCGGGCTAGTGGTATTACACCGCGGAAGCAGAGCTACCTTCCATAGGCCGGGATATGAAGGTAAAATATCTTACATACCCTTCGGATCCGAGGACATTGTAGATCGGATAAATACCGAGTATATATCATATGCTTTCCATAACACCAGTCTGCAGAGCTCCCCATCATGTCCAAGAAAGATTTTCCACAGATGGGATATACATAAGTAAATTCGATAAAGACAGACAGCTGAATTAGGTAGACGACAGGCGACAGGCGCACTGGTGGAATCACGATATTGCAAAACCAAGTAAGATTGCTCTAACTCGAGACTGCTCGATTAGGAGATACCCCGAATCATTTAAGCTGTTATAATCATTCTGAATTTCTTTTATGCTCACATACATACGCATGCACCCGCACGCATGCAAAAGCCCGCGCTATGCTAACTTCACATTAAGAAACGACTGAGCCTTTTATACACATACAATCCTAATGGAACTTTCAGATAGTAATATTTAAATGTGTGTGTAAAATAAATAAATTGCAAAAGGTTTCTATCCATTATATGTATATACACAGTAAATCTGAAGTTTCTAGGTCTAAAAATGTTCAAATTAGGCTGAAGCAAAATCAAATTTTCGATTTTTCTTATATGAGTTATCGAAAAATATGATAAACTTGTACTGCGTATGGTATACACGATTATACATATCAAATTTCAGCTCTCTAGATCTTATAATTTTTGAGACGTCATACGGACGTACGGACAGACGGACGGACAGGGCTATATCGACTCAGCTCGTCGTCCTGATCAAGAATATATGAATATACTTTATGGTGTCTGCGATGATTCCTTCTGCCCGTTACATATTTTTTCACAAACCATTATACCCGTATGGGTTACAGTTATACCAATTAAGAAAGCTGTAGTCAAGACGTTAATGTTAATTTAATTTGGCGACTCTTGCTTTAAAGATGTAGCAGATATAAATTTATTACTGATTTTTGATAATGTTTTTAATCGATAACAAAATAATGGGACAAGTTTGCGAATTTCAAGTATCTAGTTCTTATATCTCCTGAGATTAACGCGTTCAAACATACGGACAGAGCTAAATCAACTCAGCTCGTCGTCCTGATCAAGAGTACATATATACATATTGCAGCACAAACATACATATGCAGCTTGGCCACTGTGCGTGTGGATATGCAAAGGGTAGGTCTATTGTGAAATAATTTGGAAATTCCTGTGGCGCCCTATTAGAGAGGCGGCGGCGGTGTCGCGCTGTCACTGAGTGTAGTCCAACTAGCGTTTTAAAAGCAACAGAAGCAGGTATTGATACGAGGATAAGCAGGCAGTTGAGCTCAAACAGTGATACGCGAAAGTTAGAATTCGTCGAATTAGTCGAACGAAATAAATGTGTCTCCTACATATATATTTGCAGATATATATTTTTAGGATCGAATACTCCTGTATTCCACACAGACTGGTACGAAACGGTATTGAGTGACTGGAGGAGCTGCAATACTGGAACCAGACCTGTGGAATATCAGCTACGATGACATCCTAAGACAGGTAATGCCTGAAGACACGTTCTTAATTGGATATGATAACGATACCGCCACGCTATATTATTATATGGTTATAATTATTCTCGATAAAAAATTATTGGGTGAGTTATCTATCAAATATGATAAACTCGTACTGCACGAATACACACATGCAAAATTTCGGCTTTCTACCTCTTTTATCTTCTGAGATCGACGCATCATAGGGAACAAGGACGGACGGACAGTGCTATATCGACTCAGCTCAGCCTCCTGATCAAGAATATACATAATTTTCACAAAAGCATCATACCCTGATTTCCCAATTGAAATGGGTTAAGGGTGTAAAAATATATACATATATGGGGTTGATATATAAGGACCTCTTGACCTTTCAGTAGATCTTTATACAAATTACAATGACTAACACCTGATACAACACCTGTATTTTGTGCTGTCGTTCCAGCACTGGTGTCTACTTTGCCTCTTATGTAAACAAACTTACGCGTATAACTTCCGGGCAAGCGTAGTGTGGAGATCCGCAAGATGTTTCCAACATGCTACCGGCTGGTTGAAGAGAGGCCATACCGAAATCTGCTATTTTAATATTGTTCTTCTCATCCAGCAACAGATTTTCGGGTTTTAAGTCGCGATGGCTGCAAATTTGGGTAAATATTAGAAAAACTGAAACATGTATATTAGTTATTAAGCTAGTTACCATATCGAATGTGAATGGCAGAAGTCCAGTGCAGATATAATTTGCCTAAAAAACTTTCGCGCCTCCTTTGGTGTTAGTCGTCCCTTTTTAACTAGATAATCGAAAAGCTCGCCGCCAGAAACATGCTCCAGTATCAGGTATAAATATTTCTTATTTTCGTACACATCGCTTAAGCCGAGAACGTGCGGATGGTCGATTAATTTCATAATTGCAATTTCACGTTCAACCTTGAATAAAGTCAATAACGGTTCATAAATTGAATTAATTAAGGTAAACAAATTATTTTAATTTTGTTAAGACTACCATCTAAAGACGGACGGATATAGAGACAGGGCTAAATCGACTCAGCTCGTCGTCCTAATCAGAAAATATGTATGCAGTATGCAGATTGTTTGTTGGAATCTGGTAAGCGGAAATTTGATAAGTATCTAGAGGACTACACTTAGATACTGGGAACAGCTTAAGCAGGACCGATAGCAGGAAACTGAAGATGGACTATCCTTATCAACCTTTTAAATCGTGATGATAACATTATAATGAATGTAGAGATGTAATGTTATAGATAACTACGAAACTGGTTTTAATCGAAAACAGAAAAATTGGAATGGTTTTCGTTTTTTCTACCTTGAACCCATTTTCAATGGGAAATTGAAAATGGGAATAAAACCGATATACCCTGAACTCATTGAAAATGGGAAATCAGGGTTTAATGGTTTTGTTGAAATTTATGTAACAGACAGAAGGAGGCGTGGCAGACCTCACAAAGTATATATATATATTCTTGATCAGGGCGACGAGCTGAGTCGACTTAGCTCTGTCCGTCTGTCCGTATGTCTGAACGCATCGATCTCAGAAGATATAATAGCTAAAAAATTGAAATTTTTTGTCTGTATATGCAGCGGGGATATTGAGTTTATCTTCGACTATCGATTATTTTTATTATTATTATTTTGTTAAAAACATTATCGAAAATCAGAAATTAAATTATATCTGCTACATCTTTAGAGCTAGAGTCACCCCTAAGAGAGGCGTATTTCAAATACTAGAGACTTGTGATCTCTAAAATAATATATATATATATATATATATATGTATATATAATATAGTGCATCGACAAGAAAAGTTATTAAACAATTAAATTCGCGTAGTAAGCCCACGCTGCAGCCAATGCTTGTTTATGCGTTATTCCTGTGTCTTTGTGCATGTACGAATCAGTTGTTTGAAGGGTTCAAAGATCTCGTAGTCCAGCAGTCTCGACTAGAGCTTTCTTACTTGTTATTGATCTTTAAAACTTGATCTTCGCGTGCTATATAGGAACGTATATTAGGGAATCTCGACGAAAACGAATTCATAACACATAATGCCATGCCATCAAATTATTACTAGGCCCTATGTAATCTTTAAATATATCGGAGAGCTTTGATGTGTCAGCTGATCTGCTTACCTTCATAAGTACTGATTCGCTAAGTTTTTCACGGTTTATTATTTTAATTGCTACTTTTTTCCCAATCACACAATGTACGCCCAATTTTACAAGACCTATAAGAAATATAGTAAAAATAATGGCTTACTATATGCCAACAATATTCATTTGCAGTTACTTACCTGTTTGACCCTTACCAAGTGTCTTTTCCAAGCGATATGGACCGACAAACTGACAGTTCTCTGTCATCATGGTGTTTTCCTTTTGCATCTTGTTGATTAGCTAGTTTCTGATTGCTGGGAGCTATCTGTCTTTAAAAATGATAGTAAGGCGTCATCTGGACATTCGCTCAAACTCCAAGTTCTGAAATGCAGTTTTGAGCTTCAGTGAAAGAATGTTATACTTGGACTGTAATTTTACTTTTTTAAGACACAATAACATATACTACCTTTCAAATTATATGCGTAACTATTACTTCTAAACATAAATATAAATAAGTATATATCTATAAATATATATAGAGTCGGCAAAAAAGCTTAGATACAAACGGTAAATTTTCTTCTTTTCTTTTCTTCGAGTCACATACTTGAGTTATTATGAATCATATATTGGTCAATATGGGTCGGGGAAAGCAAATCCCACTAGAAACGCGTCAAATAATAATAAATCTCTACTTAGAAGGGAAAGGAGTACGCGAAATTGGCCGAACGATTGGGCGATCCCCTTCCAGTGTGCAAAATATAAAAATTTAACATTTTTGAATCAGATGGGGCTTAAAAAGTATGGAGAAAACGCAATACTGCTCTACAGCTAAAAAATTTAACTGCAATAGTGAAGCATGGAGGGAAACGCGATGGTCTGGGGGTGTATGGCCACATCTGGGAAACTGGTATTTAAAGATACCAAAAAGGATGAACATTACTATTTGGAAGTATTGAAAGATAATCTCAAGGAGAGCGCGACTCAGCTCCAGTTAGGTGACGGCCATAATTATTTTCAACCAGATAATGACCCGAAACGGACGTCTTATCTCGAGAGGGGGTGGCTTTTATATAACACAAAGTAATTACATACTCCGTCTCCAGACCTCAATCCAATTGAGCACATATGGAATTTACTAGATAAAAGGATCCGAAAATATAAAATATTCTCTAAAGATTCCCTAATATCAGTTTTTAGCTCCGAGTGGGTTAAAATCACCAAAAATTACACCAAACCCTTAGTGCGAAGTATGCGTAAAAGGTATTAAAAGGCGTTCCTACTAAATATTAACACATATTTATAGATAGTTTTTTTTAAGTGTACCTAAACTTTTTTGGCATGTTTTTCTTGTATTTTTACATATTTAGTCTAAGTCAACTGTTTTTTATTGAAATAAGTTCATGATAAGGTTTTTATGTGGACAAATATGTAATTAAAAAGATCACATTACCACTTTTTTTTCGTTTCATTTAACCCCTTTTCAATTCAGTTAAGATGTAAAATCGTTGTGTGCCTAAACTTTTTTTGCCGACTGTATATACGGATAGAAAACCAACACAATATATGCATTTGTATTGATATATGTATATGTATCCGTTGTTCCGTCGACCACCCAAGAGCAATAATATATGGAGGAAAAGTTATAAAATCCTAAATTCGAGCTAGAAACTTGAAAATCTTAAAGCCTGATTCAATATTGCTTTCACCCTTTAAGATGCGAGGTAAATTCTAATTCCCTGTATAAGAATTTTTTGAGGTGTCTAATTGTTATCTTGCCTTACATATGTATATGTATGTACATATTTATGTATATGTATACTAGCGCTGACAACCCAAAACAAGTAAGAACGTTGCAGTCGGGCGCTACCGACTGCGGAATACTCATTCAC